CCGCTGGCCTCGGCCCTGCGCGCCCAGCCCGCTCCCGGGCGTTCCTCACCCTGCCCCCATCCCCGCCGCTCTCAGGGTCTGCCCGGGCAGAACCTCGCGGTGCGGGAGCACTGGCTAAGGTAGGGTGAGGCCGGCTGGAGGGCGCTGTGGGGGCGCTGTGGCCACACCTGGGTGACCTCCCCGCAGATCAAGAAACTGTACAAAGTGCCTGACTTCCCGTCGAAGCGCCTGCCCAACTGGAGGACCAGGAGCCTGGAACAGCGGCGGCAGGGGCTGGAGGCCTATATCCAGGTGTGTGTGGGCACACGCGAGTCCCTGTGTCGGGGCGTGGGGGCACACGCGAGTCCCTGTGTCGGGGCGTGGGGGGCACACGCGAGTGCCTGCATCCCGGCGTGCGCAGGGAGGGGCATATTCGGGTGCCTCTGGCAGCAGGAGCGGGGAGAGACCCAGACAAAGAGGTGCCGGAGTGCGCGATGTCGCTCGCTGCCCCAGCGCGGAGTCCTGGACAGTGTCAAGGGCCCGCAGCCCCCTGCGGGTTGCTAAAGGCTTCAGGGAGGCTGCAGCACCGAGGCAGGCAGGTCCTTCCCTTCGGGGTAAGGCCCTGGCTGCTCCGGTGGTGCGAAGTAAAGTGGGGATGAGGGAGGAGAGCCAGGCACTTCATGGGGACCCCGTGCGGCCCAACGGGACCCAGCACTGCTCTCTCTGCCTCGAAATCTTCGCTGTTCCGGAACAAAGGGCCTCACATTCTCACTGGCACCGGGCTGCGCAAATTGGTAGCTGATTACAGCTCTCCTGTGTCTTCTCTAGGGTATCCTGTACCTGAACCAAGATGTGCCCAAGGAGTTACTGGAATTCCTGAGACTCCGACACTTCCCCGTGGACCCCAAGGCCAGCAGCTGGGGGTGAGAGGGCCGGGCTCTGGGCAGCCAGCCAGTGAGGAAAGGTTGGAAGAGCGAGGCGCTTCCCTCCTCCGTCCGCCAGGCCCTGGCCTGGGCCTCCCGCCTGAGACCTGACCTCCCCCTTGGGCTTTCTTGATGCTGGTGTAGAGGCTGGTTTTGGACAACCTTGGTTACCCCAGCTGCCGCCACCTCCGGAACTGGGCTCGTTACAGCTAGAAGCGTGGTCCCTCGGGAGGTGAATTTCTGGGCTCCTGTGTCTCCACCCCTTCCTCACCTCCCCGGCATCCCCAGACAGCTTACAGAGCCTCTCTTCTTTTCAGCACCCTGGGGGAATTCCTGCCTAGCGACGGCAGCAGGCAAGTGAAAGCCAGGGCCTGTGCCTGCCTGCTGCCCCCTGGTGGCCATGCGCGAGGAGGCCGGCTGCAGCCCCTGGCTCGTCCCTGTGGCCAGGGGTTCTGTTGCCTCCTGCACCCACTTCCTGCCCCCTCTCTGTGGGCCCCTGGTCTTCATACATGTGAGATTTCCCCTGCCTTTATGACCCCATGGCTCAGGAGCCTCTTTACTCCCAGCTCACAGCTGCACCATCGGCCCATCGTCAGCTTCTGCAGGGATCCTTACCTGTGCGTCCCTTCCCCAGGTGAGGAGGTGCCTCTGACCTGTCCATGTTCAGGGCCTAGGTCCCAGAGCGGGGTGGGCACGGCCTTACCATTCTCCAGTCACAGGAAAGTTCAGGGCCCAGGTCCCGGGCCGCATCTCCCTCCTACTGTCCTTTGGGGCCAGTGTCTGCCGCTCCTGTAGCTGTGTGGCCTTTGTGGACACGTGAGACGGCCCGGCTCCCCTGGTCTCCATTCCCCAGCAGCCTGGCGTACCGAGCCCACGTGAACAGGACGTGGCCAGCGCCTATGTCTCAGGGGGTAGACAGCTGCTACCTGCCCCCATGGCGGGAGCCCGGGGAGCTGCAGCCTGCCCCACGCCGACCATGTTTACTCTGCAGAGTCTCTGCCGGATGTGGTGGTGAACGGTGTGCTCCAGGGCCTCTACGGATTCAGCGGCAGCCCAGCCCCAGCCCAGCCCCAGGCTGACTGTAACCCTGCTCCTCTGCCACCCGTGCCCTAAGGAGTCTGGGAGCCTCTGGGGAGGAGTCATGTGCCTCAGTTGTATGAGCACCACTCCAAGAACCAGGCCTGCGTCACCCTGTGGCCTGGAGCCCGGACTCTACCATGCCTGGTCCCCATCAAGGCTCTGAACTCCACATGCGCTGGCAGCTGGGGTGGTCTTAGCACCCAGGCAGATGGCAAGGGAGGGTGAGATGAGGAATAAAAGACAGACAATTTAGAGGTAGATGGGGGACATAGGTGTAATTCTTAACATAGACCAGCAGGGGGCAGGGGTAGTAAGGTCAAGAGGCAACAGCTTGTGAAGTCAGGGAGCCTGGGGCCAGGGCAAGCACCCCCCTTCGCAGCAGAACCCTGACAGTGGGACACATACCCGGGGGAGGGGCCACAGACCTGAGCCGGCCCACGCACAGGTTATAAAAAAACCTCACTTGTTTTATTGGTCAGCAGTGATACCAGTAGTTTGTTACAAAATTGGGCCTGCGGAATGTGAGGTGAGTGGTCCACTCAGTCGGTGCCAGCACCAGGCCAGTGCAGCACGGAGCCCTGGGCCGGGCTATCTTCGCCCTCATGAGGGCAGCGAGGCTGGCGCAGATGGTCACATGGAGGGCAGAGGTCCCTGGCGCCCTACTCCTTGGCGATGGCAAAGGGCTTCTCCACCTCGATTTTGCCGCAGTCTGCGATGATCACGTCCTTCAGGGGCTTGTCCCGACTGTCTGTCTTGGTGCTCTCCACCTTCCGCACCACCTCCTGGGAAGGGACGAGGGGTGAGGAGAGGAGGGCCACCCTTGGAGACAGTCCCCAGCATGTGGCTCAGGAGGGCCGGGACCCTCCTGGGACAAGCAGTCCACAAACCCTAAGGCACCAAGTTCTAATGAACCAACGGCGAGGGTGCCACACCACAGCCTGAGAACACAGGTCTTCTTGCGGATTCGATGTTGAGGGGACAGCGGAGTTCTGTGAAGGTTCAGGTCAGGCTGAGGGTAGGGTGGAGGAAGAGGGGACTACCGAACAGCTGCTCAGGGACACAGCCCCGGCCAGTGAGTGGTGGAACAGGATCCTGCAGCTCTGTGGTTTCAACAAGCCTGGCTGGGCTCTGCTGGGCCCGGGAGGGGTTCACAACCTGGGCAGCCTGGAGATGCAGGTGGGCCTCAAACTCCTGGGCTTACATGGTCCTCCTGTCTCAGCCTCCTGTGCAGCTGGATGTGGGCTGTTTATTCTTGATTCCCCCCAGGTTAGGAGACATGGACATTACCCTCAATCTGGGGCTTGGGTTCTTCCGAGAATGCCATGAAACCCGAGGAGCCCCCGGCCCGGGGTCTGCTCCAGGACTCACCATGCCCTCCAGAACCTTGCCGAATACCACGTGCTTGCCATCGAGCCAGGCTGTCTTGACGGTAGTGATGAAGAACTGGGAGCCGTTGGTGTCTTTGCCAGCGTTGGCCATGCTCACCCAGCCGGGCCCGTAGTGCTTCAGCTTGAAGTTCTCGTCCGGGAAGCGCTCACCGTAGATGCTCTTGCCTAGGAGGAGGGCAGAGCAGGATGTGGAGGCTGGCTTGGCCCACACCGGGCAGATCTTGGGAGAGGGTTTCAAGCAGCTCAAACAGTTCTCTGTGCCAGGCTAGGTGTGCGCAGTCTCTGGGCACAGAGAAGCTGCCCCGCCCCATCCTCTAGCCTTGGAGCCAGACCTTGCTGACCGACACAGGGTAGGAGGGGAGGGTTTTGGAGGGGCCGGCCCAGGCTGATGTCCGTAACAGCACACTAGATGGGTGATTTTATGGCTTGTAACTAGGGACCTACCCCTCCCCGCAGCTGTGGCCTGAGGGACTTTGGTGGGGGACATTGTGGGGCTGACCAGCTAGGCTTCTGAAGAGCACCGACACTGCTGCAGCAGGGATGGGTATGGAAGGGATTCTAGAGCCTCTTGTGACGAATGAGCATGAAATAAAAGGCACTGGTGGGTCTGGGTCACGAGTCTGTCCCTCTGGGGGCTGGGGCGCGTGACAGGGAGCAGTGCGCGGTTCTCTACGCCACCTTCTCCCCAGCCAGTTCCAGCGCAGCAGCACTGGGACCTTCTCTTTCCCTGTCACCTGCTCAGACCCAGTGGACTCAAGGCCCAGGGAAAGCCCGCACTGAAGAAGTCATCTGCACCTGGGGACCTACCCCAGGTGGAGGGTGACGGGGAGACAGTGCTGGCTGTGTCACCGGAGATGACACTGGTGGTCAGACTGAAAGCCAGAACGGCCGATGGGTGGGGGCACATCTGCCTGTGTGCCAGGTGGGCAGAGGCTAGACGGCCACCTTCGCACAGGGACTCCTGGCCGGGTGCCTCCGTTAGAGGGTTCTCTGTAAACCTCCACCGGTCACAGGATCTCAGTTATTGCTGCAATCCAGAAGATCCCACGCTGACAGTGTATCCTGAGTTCCAAGCACTTCCCCAAACTCCAAAGGGTACTAGCTCGCTTGAAACCCAGTAAGAGTCAGACCTGTCACTTGGCAACCTTTCCTCTGCACGTTCCTGTCACCACCCTGTGTTCATCCTTTCCCCTTCCTGTACCTGTCACAATCCCTGGTGGCAAAGAGGCAAGCAGAGACTCTTCTAGGCGTTTTAGTCTAATGTTCCATCTTTGAGGCAGGAGCTAGTAACTACTTCAGAGGAAAAAACTGAAACAGGTCAAAAGGCACCCAGCTGGGAAGCAGCAGAGTTGGAATCCCAACCAAGGTGGCCTGGTTCCCAGGTCTCTGCCATAGCTGGTTACTCTGCAGGGCTCCGGGCTCCTCAGGACAGCTGCACAATACCTCAGCGGCAGCTGGCCCTGTGCGCCTCATCCCAAACCCTGCCACATGTCACCCTTTGTGACCGGGGCGTCCTCCCATTCACATCTTCAGCAGGACCGCAACCCTGAAGAGTACAAAGCTGGGCTTCTGGCCAAAACCCACCTCTCTGTACCAGATGTGTTCTCCTTCCAGCCCCAGCTCCCCTTTGCCATGGTGCTGCTATGGAACAGCCAGGTTCACAGCTTAACCTGCCCGTGTCCGTTCAGAACCACCGCTCCCACTCACAGGGCCACTTCCTGGCCCCTGTGGCCCAATCTCATCAGACACCTAACACCCAAGATCTCACCCAAGCCTCTGCGTGCCCACCACCCTTACCTCTCTGCCTTACAGAAGAGGTCACAGAGGCTCCGAGGACTGGCTTGTCTGAGGCCACCAAGTGAAAGCATGGCAGACGCTGGTTCACTCCCAACTGTCTGACTCCATGCGCACTGCTGCTTGTAGCACCTCCACTCTGTGCCTCCTGGCCCACCGCTGCCTGTGGCTAGTTCTCAGGTCTGGCGTTAGTTAAGTGGCTTTCCAGGCTTCCTGCTAGTTCTTCCTACCTTGACGATGAACAACTTGAGGGCAAAGCCTGCGTCTTAAACGCTGTACTATGGTGCACGGGGGAACCTTCAGGTATTGGGCGGGGGGAGGTGACTGCTGCTCACGGCTCTTTCCACCCCTGGTGCCTCCTTCCTGGGGTCTGGGAAACAGCAGGCTGGGCACCTAAGCAGTTAGTCCAGGGTGTCTGTCTTTCTGTGCTTTGAATACTGTGATCCTTGGGTCCACCAAGGCAAGCACCTTCTCCAGCCCCGGCTGGGGCCTCCAAGCTGGGGCACACAGGCTTCGTGCCGACCCATGTGTCTGTCCTTCGCTGCCGCAATAGCCCTCCACCCTCATCTACCAGAGCAGATCTTGGGTCCACCTGACCCTCTTCTCCCTCTCCTTTGAGCCATTCCCCTCTGCTCAGAAGGAGACAGCTGTCACTGTGTAGGCGAGAGGCCTGTCTAGCAGCTGGGGACAGAAACAGGCTGGCCTGCCCCCTACAGCCCGGCCCTCCACCTCGGAGGCTACGCTGACAGCCCCAAGCACCCGCGGTTACCTCCGGTGCCATCTCCTCTGGTGAAGTCTCCGCCCTGGATCATGAAGTCTTTGATCACCCGATGGAATTTGCTGTTTTTGTAGCCAAAGCCTTTCTGCAAAGAAGGAGATGGCAAGGAGGTGGTGCGAGGCAGCACACAGACGTCCAACAGGCCCTACAGGATCCCAGACTGCAACTCCCGCCCCCAGAAGAGACACTGCTGCCGGCTGCACCACAGCACAGACCCAGAAAAGGCTGAGACTCCACCTTCCTCTGCCTCTGCACAGGTCCCAGCTTTACACCATCCTCCGCCCTTCTCCCCTCATCACAAGAGCGGATGGAGGAAAACTGAGAAAGAGGGTCACCTGCTGGCCCCATGCAAGGAGACAGGGTCTGGCTATGTAGGTCAGGCTGGTCTTGCACCATGTAACCCAGGCTGCTTTCAAACTCCAAGCGCTCCTCCTGGCTCAGTCTGCGGCGTGCTGGGCTTACGGGTGTGCACCACCGCCCCCGGTAAGGGTGCCCTTGTTCTCTTGAAAGCCAGTGTGGTATCCCGGGATACAGTCTCCCAGGGATGCTCTGGGCCCTTGACTCTTAACCTGACAAGCTGGTCCCCAGGGCCACAGTCAGCCGGTCCTCAGCAAAGGCTTCCACTACACGGGCTGCACACTGCACTCCCGTTCGCTGCCAGCCCTAGCGCACGGAGCTGACAACCACTGCTCCAGGCACTTACCTCTCCCGTAGCTAAGGCCACAAAATTATCCACTGTTTTTGGAACAGTCTTCCCAAAGAGACCAAAGACCACCCGGCCCACGTCTTCATCTCCAATTCGTAGGTCAAAATACACCTGAGGGAAAAAAAAGATTTCGACTTCAGTCTGACGGGGGCGCTGCTCAGGGAGAACCCAAGGAGGGAGCAAATATTCCCACCCTTTTGGAAACAGGGGCTCCCTGTGTTTCTCGGGGTGGTCTCTACCTCTCCGATCTCCTGCTTCCGCCTCCCGGGTCGCTGGGATGACAGGCGTGCGGTCATGTGTCCAGCCTGAGCCATACTTAAAAGCAGAGGTCCTGAGTTTGATTTTGGTGGACGCAAAAATACTGACAATCTAAGGAAAGCGTCACACCCTTTCCCCGAAAAATGTCTGCACATACCCCCCTTACACGACAAGATAATATCTTTGCTTCATGTAAGCGAGCCCCGATACTGCTAACAGAAAACAGGAGGGATATCTAAACTCGCGATGCAAGTTTACGCCGTATTTACTGTGTTTTGCAATCTCGAGTAACTAAGATTTGTCATAAGGGGAGAGAAGGCGAGGCGGACCCGCTCTTCGGGCATTTCCCCAGCACCGCAGGGTCTCGGCACAGAAGCCGGCCCGGGCCGTCCCCGAGGCCCCGCCGGGCATTCGGGGTCCCCAGGACCCACCCTCGGTGAGGGCGGGGAGTGCGCGCGGAGGATCCGCGCAGGGGGTGTCCCAGGGATGTGGTTGTCGGCCTGGGGGTCCGACGGCCCGGGCGCCGCGAGGCCAGGGTCAGCCCAGAGGAGAGCGCGGCCAAAGCCAAGGACGCCGCGGCCAGCGGCGCCGAGAGCGGAGCCGGGCGGAGCGCAAGAGGTGCCCGCGGACCTTGACGGTGACTTTAGGCCCCTTCTTCTTCTCGTCGGCCGCGGAGGGCCCCGGGAGCAGCAGGAAGAAGACAGAGCCCACGATGAGGGCGGCAGCGAAGAGCAGCTTCATGTTGCGCTCGGAGAAGCGCAGCATCCACACCGGGGGAGTGCAGGGCCGGGCGGCCAGGCCGGAAAGGGTGGGGACGCGGCAGCGTGGCCGGGCGCCGCCACCGCGCGGGGGTCCCCGGGGCTGTGGGAGGC